TATATATATTATATATATATATAATTATATTATAAATTAATTAAGCATGTTCATCAATCAGAATTATTTTATTAGTGTTTTATATTTTTATAAATCACGAGTGGAAATAATCTCCTTGTGTATATATTTAAACAAATTTCTATGATTATCAAGAATGCACTTACTCGTGTGCGTGAAGATCACTTGTGACTCGTTGATTTGACTTTGCGTAAAATTGTAAATGTCTATCTCGGGCGAAGTGACTAACGAAATGTATCCGTTTCTCACTCCGGTAACGTTAAACGTTATATCAGATGGAGCGGTGTCGTTATCCACGGCCGCCAAGTTTGCCGGCGTCAGAACGACCGAGCCACCCTGCCAAACCTTGAGTTTGGTTCTATTCACCAGCACGGGAACTTCGTCGTTAACGGGTTGAACGATAATCGGCACGCTGAAAGGTTCGCTGGTCTTATCGCCAGCGGTGACCACCATCTTGAAGGAATCTCTCGGGAATTCGTCTCCGTTGTGCTTGTACAATATAACACCGGCGTTCAGATGCTTCTGTGAGAACTTCTTTACTTGAGTGTTCTTCGTGAAATCGAGAATCGTACCGTGTCTCGGTTTTTCTGTTATTCTATAATCTGTCACTTTACCGGCATAATACGGAGTTACGACTAAGAAATTCGATTCGTTCAGCGTCGCGTTCTTTCCCTCTATCACGGTGAGAGTCTTCGCCGCGATGTAGAGCTTCTCCGGCAGTATCACAAAGTTCACGCTAAGCCCGCGCAACCACGTGATACCACCATTGGTTACGTCGACGATGAATCGATCGTTTGTCTGATTTATCACCGATTGAACGTAAAAGACACGGCCGTCGTTTATGAGACTCTGCTCGAAGTGTTTAACCGCGTTGCCGCTGTACTCCTCCCTCGTTTCCTCGCTGTGCTCATCCTGAAGCTGCAGATCCAAGTAGCCGTTCTGCGGCCACTCCTGCACGTGGTAAACGATCTCGGAGGGCGATATCTTCGGGTGCATTATCTCGAGGCTTTTTTGACTCAGCAGAACGCTGGTCGCTTCCTCGACGAATATTATCTTGTTGTTTTGCACAATCAACGGCTCCCAGTAACTTTCCGGATAGACTTTGATCGCAAATACACCCTCGGTCTCGGCGCCCTTAACGAACACTTTGAATTTAAACGCGTCTCTCGTTGAAGACCCACCTAAATGTTTATATGACACGCTATCGTGTTTCAAATCGTCTTCCGTGAAACTGTTCGATTCCCGACCGTGTTTCAGTAACACACCGTATTTCGGCTTCTCCCACACCGTGTATTTGATGTCTTTCTCCGTAGTGTAAACGTTCGTTTCTGTTTCCAGTTCTTTTGCCGGCAGCACCACGGACTTGTTAAATTGCACCACCGAGCCGTTGCTCTCCCGCAATCTGATATAAGGCGGACTGGCTTGGATTTCAAGAACGCCGGTCCTATAGAAGTGACCGTCAGTGATACCGAATTCGATTTTCTCACGTTCGTCTCCCTGATGTCGAAAAAGTACGAAGCCGTCGTCGATGTCCTGTTGCGAGAACTCGCGTATTTGTAACGACGGATTGGTCACTCTGTATATTCCGCTTTTTCGAACATCTTTTCTCGTGTAGATAAGCTCGCTCGGTTTAGTGCCGACGTCCTTGTCCGTGTAAGCGATGTCCTTGCTCGTTATAAGTTTTTCGCCTTTCGACACGACATGAAAGATCTTATCGACTATTCGTTCCGGCGGATTATCATTTTTCATCGTTACATCGATTCGAAATTTTCCAATGTACATAAAGTCGACGGAATCCAAAGATACCGCTACGTACTCGAAGAAATCCTCTTTTGTCTCGGAATCGTCGTGCACGTAATAGACCGTTTGCGTCAACAGATCCTCGTACGTAAAAGACGAGACGTTCTTTTGTCCGTGTGATCTCGTGCCGTTTGCAATAGAAACCCATCCGTGACTCGGTTTTATTGTTAGATTGTATATCAGAGATGATACCCCGTACTCCTTTGGATTTACATGCGCGATCCTGAGGAGTACCTTCGAGCCCTCGTCAACTTTTATGCTCTCCGTGTCCTCGAGCGATTTGCCATTCTTGCCGAGGTAATATCGGAACTTCAAGTTGGCGTGTATCTCGATGCACTGAGGCGCATTAACTTTGAACGTTATTTCGTCGAGAATATTGGAGTAAGCCCGCCTGAACAGACGGTAGACAAGGCGGCCGGCCTCGATGTCTTCTTGCGTGAACACATCGGCCGTTGTTAGTTTACGATCGGACAGAAATAAATTGCCGTACCGCGGTCCCGTTGTGAGAGCGAACACGATCTTGCCCGGCGATGTGACCAGCGGATTCGTCTGATACCTCAAATGATCGCTCGTGATAGTTGCGTTCGACGTGCCGGCAGTGAGATCAACAGGCAATCTTTTGCCTTCCCTCAGCTCGAGATCGATAAATGTGATGCGAAAATCGTAAGTCTGCTGAGTTTTTACCTCGCGCACGCTCGCTTGAAATTTAAAATCGTCCTGATTAGGACTACCGACGTTGTGAAAATAACGTACAGCGTTCGACTCGATGTCCCGGCTGGTAAAGTGATCGACGTTAACCCAACTGCCGGAGACGTCTCTCAGTTTCTGCAATACGCCATAATACGGAAGCGAGACGATATCGTAACGAATTTCGATGGTGTTGTCGTCGGAATTGGTTGCGAACGAAAGATTCGCGGGTGTCAGGTAGGAGAACGAACGATGCACCACAACGAGGCCGGTGTTGTGCGTCAATTTGATCTGTAACGGGTAAGCCGACACGCGGAGATACGCGGGCTGACTGCTCTCGATGCCGTCACTCACTTTCAAACCCAACATCGCATTTGGTTTCGCTGAAACATTTAACACATTTTGCGCTCATATAAAAATTTTCAAATCAAAATATAACATTTTTATGCATTTTTCATTCGTTGGTTCGGCGTTTGCATTGTATACAATTCGAAAGAAACAAATTATTCATATAAAACCAAAAACAAAAACAAAAAAAAAACAAACAGATAAACAGGTTAGTGCAAGATGATTAAAGATATACAAGCATTTTTTGTGCGCGTAATTATAATTCAATAACGACACGGAGTCATACCGTTTCCACGATGCACGTACGCGATGAGACCTTGCATTAATTCGGCCTGCGTGAACGTGTCGATAGATCGAGACGAATAAGTAACTCTCTCGATGTGGCCGGCGTCGGTATCCGCTCGTAAAACCGTGTAAATCAGCATCTCCGAAGGGGTGTCGGCGTCTATGGCCCATATTAACTCCTTGGTCAGTATTTTTCTTGTGCCCTGCGAACGTTAGCGTGTTTTTTTTTTTTTTTCGCACATTTTTTTATTTGCTCAAAATCATTCGGCGCGTGCTGCACAGGCATATTGGATAAAAGGATGAAAAAAATCGGTAAAAAATTGCTGTTATTTTTATAATGACGTAAAAACATTAGGTGAGAGACGCAAGATGTCGGATACATAACTCATTTTTTCTAGCTAGTTTTTCGCGTTGTAAAGTGATTGAAAAACAAAATGAGTTATAAATTTAATTTCAATTAAGGGGGTATTTGGGATTTCTCTTATACGAGATGCAAGTATAGCATCCGATATGAATTTTAGAATTGTTATTACAATTTGAATTTCACGTGTAAAAATTTACACGTGAACACGTATATATGTATATATATATATATACACGTATAATTTCCGCACAACACTTAGCGAACGGCTCTCATGACCGATTATATATTTATTAGTTTGGAAACTTCGGAGCCTTAAAAGATTCTTTAATTGTTTAAAATGAGTTATGTTATATTTAGGAGAAATTGTGCTTTTCTCTTTATTTTTGCCGACATCAACACCACACTTAACATATCGATACTATCTACTTGTTTAGGACTTACACTATATATAACGGATAAATATTTAATAGAATAAACATAAAATTATTTATACATATATTGTGTGTTCGTTTATATTATTTATATGTACTGCGTTTATATATATACATATATATAAACATATATTATATAACATATATTATATAACATATATTATATATATACATACATATATGATTATATAATCTGTTGCATATATAAGCTACAAGAAGAGCTATATCGCTATGTAGCTTGTTAAGATCGCATCTCGACACGCGTGAGATCAATTTACCGCGAATATTACGGTGTTACAATTTCCGTCTTGATATTACGATCATTACTGTTCCGAGAATTCGGATCGGTTAGTGAAAAAAAAAAAGACACGCAATTTATACGCACCGCGTGTGTGTACGCACGTATTCTCGCGCGAGTTTACACGCGCGGTTAATTAAGAGCGATGACCGGCGCGCGAGCGAGTTAAATCGATTTCGCCGCGGCTAAATTGCCACGTTCTCCGAAGATGCACGAGCCACAAATAAGCTACTATTTCATTTGGTCTCCATTAATTGATTTAGTTGAGTGGCGTGAACCGGCGCGGTTGTTCCGCCAGACGTAACACGGTTCGGAATTATCGCATTGTCGCCGGCGACTCGAGGAAAAATGTGTCGTAATAATGCGCTCGGACGCGAGAGGGAAAGAGGAAAAACACAGCACACACACACAGGAAGAAAGAGGAGGTTAAAGATTATTTTCGTGCCTTACTTGAGCCAGACGCAGCACTTTTGCAGTCGGTATCTCGAGCAACGGTGGGTCATTGACAGGAGTGACGTTAACGTGCAGAGGAAACCTGAGGCGTCCTTGGAGGTATCCTGGGAGCGTATAGCCTGTCCCGGCCACCAATGTCAATTCCAGAATCATGCTGTCCTCTGTGGTTTCGCTACCGTCATGCATGTACTGTATCTGTCAGGAAAGTCAATTATCATAAGAACATCTAATACTATATATTACGTTTGACGTAATACGGGATTCGTGTATATAATAACGTGTACAGAAATTATTATAAACATATATAATTATAACATATATACAATATGTTTTATTATTAAGAGATATTAACATAGATAATAATTAAAACTGAGATTCATCTCGGGCTCTGTGTGAAGTCTTTAACTAATAAATGAATGATAAGTCATTGAGAGCCGTTCGCTGGATATTGGAAAATATGTCTATATATATATATATATGTGCGTGTGTACACATATATAATCGAATTCACGTTTTTCATTAACATAGATATTTATATTAGGGAAAAAACTTGATAAGTCTCTCTCACATTTTCGTAATTTTAGAGGAGATCGATTTTAAAGTTCGAAACATATATGTATTTCTGTGTTAAAATAAATGTTTATACAGAAATGTTTCATAAAAATGTTTATATCTCGGAATTTAATCAAGAATTTTCCTTTTTCTCGCTTTGGATAAATTAAAATACTCCGTTTTAACTACCAAATACCATCAAAAACAAAAAATCCTCCAAAAATCGACTTATCAATTTCTTCTTGTGGTCTTCAACATTATATCGTACAAAATCAAAATTAATCATGGACGAATATATACGTTAGAGCGTCCGACGATCGTCTTAATCTTTCTGACATTCGATCTAAGCACTCGAACAAGCGATTGAAATTAATGAGAGCGACGGGGATTAAATCGGGAGTTGTCGATTAGCATATCAAGTGGGCGTTGTCCTCGGCCGACTCAAGATCGAAAGACAAGGGAAAAGAAAGCGAGTGTTTTTCTTTTCTGTTTTTTTTTTCTTCGATTAGAAAATAATTGGTGATAACAAAAAAAAAAAAAAAAAAGAGACGAAGGCGCGGCGTGCACATAAAAAGAAAAAAGATCATCCGATAATAACGCGATCTTCAACAAAAAACTATTAATGAGCGGGTTTATAAATAGTGCAGTGTGTATCGCTAGATAAATTGAGTGCGGGTAGCAAAGAGGAAAGAGAAAGAGAGAGTATAGGCAAGCGAGAGCAAGACAAGTCGGCCAACCCTCCGTGTTCTCACAACCGGCGGATTCTAAAGTTAGTCCTTACAGCGACGTACTATGTATAGCAGCGCGTGGTTCCTATGACGAACTGGAAGAACACATGACTTTCTATATTTCTCTCTCCGCGCCTTCTACGGTCTACTGGCCGAGCGCGCGCGCGACTGCGGCTTGTTTAGTCACCTGATATTAATTAACGTCAGGTGCACGCCGATCGAGTTTCATCTCTTACACGTGTTTCCCGCAAACCTCTCGACGATTACAAGTCAGCTTTATCGTCACACGTGCAACCGACAGATAAACGCTAATACGTCTCGCGCAATCGTCCTCGCGTAAGATTTATATGAGCGAGTTTGATAAATAAGAATTAAAAAAGATTATTAATTAAAAGATACGCGAGACGAGAATTTTGATTATTAGATAGTTACCTTATCCTGATTGACATCTTGAAGCGTAAACGAGTTATCGCTTTGAGATGTCAGAGGATCCAACACTAACGTCCCGTAAGTTGGTGGTGTCACTAGAGTGAATACGACACCGGTCTCTTCCACGCCGTATTTAGCGATGTCCAACACCATCGCGATGTTGTCGCCCGTTACCGGCACTTGCTCTCCTTCGGAAACTAATAGAGGGCTCAACGAGAGAATTTCCAAGTTTACTGGCAAAGTAGAGTTTGAATAGATCTGTAAAAACACAGGCCACTTCTTATTTTACAGACGTCGGCTTTGTTCGAATACCAGCAATGTTTTGTACGATCAAATTTTTCTCGTCCGTCATCAGAGATACGTCCGCGTACCAAACCCCCCCCCAAAAAAAACAAACAAAAACTTCATAACGTTAATTTCATATATTATTATAATTTTCGTGAGTTTTGCATCAATTGACCCGAGTCGAAATTTAGCGTCTACATTGAACCTCAATTTTTGAAAAAAGGAAATTTCGGACGTACAGCGGCGTCAAAGTAGGATCTACTATCTCTTTTACTCCTACATAAAAAAAGAAAAATTGAGGATCAATATAGACGCTAAATTTCGACTCGGGTTTTGCATCAATTGACCCGAGTCGAAATTTAGCGTCTACATTGAACCTCAATTTTTGAAAAAAGGAAATTTCGGACGTACAGCAGCGTCAAAGTAGCGTCTACTTTTTTTCTTACTCCTACTTTGAGCCTATCAGAGCTTATTTTGAACCTATCAGTGCCTGCAATGCGCAGTCTGATCTGAAAATTAAATCCTGCTTTAAAACTTTAGCAGGAAAAAAGAAAATTTTGGACGTATAGCAGCGTCAAAGTAGGATCTACCATCTCTTTTACTCCTACATAAAAAAAGAAAAATTGAGGATCAATGTAGACGCTAAATTTCGACTCGGGGAATATAAACAACAATTATTATCAAAGAATACTTTACGCGCGTACATGGTATTTTGACTGAGTCATCGTGTGTGTTATTTCGAGTCTTCCATAAATCCATACGCTATAGTTATCGATGACATAATTAGCTCAGTAACCGCATCGTAATCTTCCGCTAAGCAAGCGGAGAGAGCTTTATCAAAACTCAATTAAAATTGATCTACCTTGTAGTCCTCGGCGTAATTCGGTTTGATGCACAGCGGTTGATCGCAATTGCAACGGAATGAATTGACGCCCAGCTGCGTGCACGACGATCCGGATACGCAGGGATCGACTTCGGCGCACGGATATCCCCAAACGCAGCCGACGACGATTCCCTGACTGACCTTGACATCCGGCAATCCGAGATCCTTTCTGTCGAGAACCATGTTCCTTATACAACCCTTGTAACTCACGTCGCCAGACTTGAGACCCTTGCTGAATGCCCGAGCGCGTTTGTTCAATTCCGTGCCGCCGATGTATAGCGTGTCAGCCAGGTCGAGGAAGTGATTGCCGCCGGAAGGCAGTGCCATCGTTTTCTCGTGACGGTCGACAGTAATGCCGAGACCGCTCGGATTGAAGACCACGATCACGCTGTGCCACTTGCCATCAGCTATCACGGTGCTGTGTATAAGCTCGGTCGGCCCGTTTCCCTTGTTCATCAACAGTCGAATCTTACCCTCAAACAACTCAATGCCGAGGAAATCCGCGCGGGACGATTGACCGGGATTGTAGAGCAGCATACCGCTGTCGGCGCCGGTCTTCAGCTCAAATTCCCAACTGTAAAGTTGTAAAACGAAATTGACAAGAAAAATCTTTGTTATCTTTACTCTTTCTCCGCGTAAAGAGAAAATTGCACAGCCAGGCTGATGTTACACAGTCGTTGCACACCAGCTACACCATTGACTTTATGATGTTCCGGAGAATGTCTGTGTACGCGGATAATGCCATTGATACCGAACAATTGACGAAAAATTTCGATATTCTCTGCCATACGCTAATCGTCAGACTGTTGCAATTTCGCGGTTGATTTTGTCGATATCCGCAATCGTGCAGAGAAGACGGCAGTTCGAAAACAAATTGTACACTGAGAAAAAAATACTATTAACTCAACTAAATGCGTTTAGTTGAGTTTCAGTTTGTTATCTGAAATACTTGGTTTTTTAATTCAAGCATGTGGTAATAAAGATAACAAATTCGTATAAGTTGAATTAACAATAGTGGTAATGAAAACATATTTAATTCACTAAACCATGAATTGTTTTGTCGAACATAAGTTGTGATAATTTTAAATAAAAGATACTGTTAAAAAAGATGAAATAGGCAATTCTCATTTACTTTAATTGAATATAATCTGAATTTCTTCGTACTAAGTATTTTTCATTTAATCAAACTGCTTATTTTTATAAGCAGACAAGATATTGTGTTGTCCTATTGTGTTGTACATTCAAAGTTATTTAAGCAAATTATATGTGTATGTATTTAAGCAAATTATAATTTTGTTAAAACAACTATAT